ATTTTTGATTAGTAATATGCATGGCTAAGGACTTAATTTGGACAACTTTAAAGATGATTTTCTCAATATTTTGCACCCTCAGATTCCAGATTTTCAAATAATTGTATCTCGGCCAAACATTGTCCTATCCTAACAAACCATACATCAATGGAAAGCTTATTTATTCAGCTTTCATATGATGCATTGATCTTAATTTTGAAAAATTGACACTTAAGATTGGTTTTGTGGTCCAGGGTCACATATTAGGACATATATGATGCAGACTTGAAAATGTCCTAGTAGGAATGATGCTGGCTAATCTTTTTCCACTGTTCTGAGGTCAGGATTTAAACCAATAACCACTGACACATTACTGAGAGGTTCACACTCATTAATTATAGGTCATCAGATTATCGGGACAGAAAGAGTGAAGGAATCTTGTACTGCATGTATTTGTGCCAAGAGATCTACAGCCAGAGGAGGAACTCTGTGAGATGTTTTAGCTTGATACATGACAAAAACATTTCCACTCAAAACTACCAGCAGACCTCACCAGCATGTAGAGTTCAGTGGAAGTGTCTTCGTCAGCCTCAGGCCAGTATTGAACTGAATTTAGCTGGAGTGGATGAGTGAAGTTGGCTGCGCTCACCTGTGTTCCACCACAGAGCTTCTCTGACAAACACAAGAACTGCTTTTTGAAGTACAGAGCTTAACATCTTCAAAGGAGAAAAAAGCTAAAGTGGCAACTTTAAAAGTGCCTGTGCCAAGTTTATTGTGCCACTTCAAAACTGAAAGATCAAATAAACATTTATACCATCAATCCTCATTTAATAATATTTGGAATAAATGGAAATCTTAACAGGGCGCACCTCCTTTCTGTGGCTGCTTTTAAATGTCATTTTATTACTTTTTTTTTTTAATTTGATGTGTACCCATTTCTTTAGCTTTTTTATTGGTCTTATGAAGTATTCTAATTTGTTGAGATAGTGAATTGGTGGGTTTTTGTTAAATGTGAGCCAAAATCATCACAATTAGAAGAACCAAAGACTTAAACTACTTCAGTCTGTGTGCATTGAATTTATTTAATACACGAGTTTCACAATTTGAGTTGAATTACTGAAATAAATGAACTTTTCCACGACATTCTAATTTATTGAGAAGCACCTGTAATTTCAATAAATTGAGACAATCAAAAAAGACCTGCTACTCCGTGACTCAAATCAGTGAATCTTTTTGAAAGCTGTTAATTTACAAGAATCGTCTGAACAAATCAATTCACTGGACTTTTCAAAAGCTAAATATAAGAGAGAAAACCATTTGAGATGTACCAATTCACTAGAATGAACGTAACTTTACAAAGATTATTTATTTAGGTTATTAAAATGTTGTGGGAACATCCAGTTTTCTTGCTGTGGTTATAACTTTATTTAATATAAAAGATGTTTCTTACAGCGTTCTACTAATTTTAGTTTTCCCAAAATGTAATGTTATTTGAAGGTTTTTTTAATATTCTAAGAATGTTAAAATGTCCAGTTTTTTGTTGTGATTATATTGTTATTTAAAGGTTACAATAATATTTCTTAGAAAGTTCAAGTACAAATAACATCACAAGGACGTTTTGAGAATGTCGATCTCAGAATGTTTTCTCTCAACGTTATGAGAAGGTATATCAAATATTAATAAAGTTATAAGATCGTTCCATAAACATTACTTTGAGATTTTTTTTACTTTGAGAGTTTTGTCCTAACATTTATGTAACTTCAAAAGAAAAAAAAAAGAAAAAAACTTTTCCCGTTATCTGGGTTAACAGAAATACTGATCACGACTCTGGAGAGCTGAGTGGATCTGTTTACAGGCACGAAATAAAATATTTTATCTTGTAGGTATTCATGAATATAAACTTCATAAGCTAAATAAACACAACAAATATGATTATTTAAGGTTCATTTTATTCCACACCTTTAGTATGTAAAATTTCTCACCTCAGACTGTTTTGTAACTGCAAAATAATGAAAGCATCCATCTGTGATTGAACACTCCATGATCAAAAGACAAATAAACAGCACCTGACACAGTTGTTTGTGTAGTAAAATATTTAATAGAGCTTTTAATGGATTCTGAAATTAAGCATTCACAAAGAATGAAATGACACACTCCTTAAATTCAATTTCTCCCCAATTTCTCTGCCTTAAATATCGCCGCGCATGTGTAGTTATTAGATCTACATAAAAGCGTTAAGCATGTGGAATAATTGATTCGTTGAAAGGTTTTCATAGTATAAAAGCTGGTGTTTTGACCCTCATTGTTCCAAAATGATGAATCGGTAATCTTGCTTCCATTTCTTACCTGTAATTCCTCTTTCATCTCTCTCTCTTTAATGTGTCCTTAACGTCCCGTCTCCTGCTGTCACTGTGCATCAATCACTGTCTGCTGTGAAGTTCATCCCTTTTCAGGTAGTAAGTATTGGCTCAAAAGGTACATGAACCATCAAAAAGCCCCTTCTCCCCCTCCGTTCTCAGTTTTTGAGACATAGATTATCACCATGAACTATAAATCTGGAAAATCAAAGCAGAATAAATAGATGCAGTCCAGCGACAAAAATAAACACTCAAAATGATTGACAGCTCGAGAGCTTTCCTGATTGGTCAACAATCAGAAACACTCAACTTGTAATTCCATAAGAAATCACTTATGGCACTTTCAAGGAACAGATCAATGAAAATAGGACATAATGACAGAATTTTGATTTTGGGTGAATTATTATTCAAAACACATTTTTGAGACTGAAGGACATTTTAAATTCTTTCCATGGACTATAAATCTGAAATATCAACTCGAACAGCCGTACATTAATCTTGATTCGCCTTGTGTGAAAATTACAGAAGATGTTTTTCAAAAAGACAATAAACAAAGGCTCCTCGTCAAGCAGATGATGTGCCTCTAAACAAGTTAAACCAGAGGACCGGAAGAGAAGAGGCTTAAAGGTGGTTGAAGAACCGTCTTTGTTGACTAATGATGTCACGTCCTGCTATCAAAGAGTTCACAGGAACCAGAAGCACTTCCTGCGGCTCTTCTTGACCATCTGGAGGGCCTGTGGAGAGTCCTGCTGGCGCGGAGGAGGAAAGACCAGCTGAGGAGAGCTCTGCTCCGACTCCTGCTGCTCCGGGACCTTCCACACTCGCGTCACCTGACCCTCCTGAAGCCGGAAGTCATGCTCCACACTGAAAGAGAGAGATGCTTACAGTTATTATTGTGGAAAAAAAAAAACATCATACAGTGATGTGCTTTGAGAATGCATTGAAAGAAGGCGGATTAAAATCTGATGTTGGCTTTGAACATTATAATTTTTGTTCTCGGGTTAAGGATTTTACTAAGGACCAAATTGACTAAACAGGGCAAATTAGCATGAGAGCACAATCCAATAAAAGCGCAGACGGGAGTGGGAAGTTCCAGGTCTGATTTACTGACAATGCCCACATTAAATAAAACAGACACAGCCAGATCATTTTCATAACGACCAATGCAATCTACCAAGAGCAGCACAAATTAGCGTCTGGTTTAAGACATGCTTTTTTTGGCCGGTAAATAGTGGCACAAATACCAGTAAATTGACTAGTGCAAACCTTTGTAAATCATGTTGCATGATTCATTTAAAAAAAAATTTCACTGCACGTCTTTAGTAAATCCTAGTAGTTTTTCAATACCAAAGGGGTGTTGTGCTGGCGCAAGCTGTTAGTAAATCTGGCCCTTAGACAAGGGCTCCCAAACTTTTTTGTTGACTGAAACTCTTAGATGTGAAATATTTACATGCAAATACCCCCTGAGATTTTAAGTTAATATTTCAATAATTTAACGACACATTTGCATGTCCATTGTTCTCTGATGTCAGTTAATGGTCACATGGCATGCAAGTTAACTGATCAATTATCTAATATCTTATTGTTTTATTTTAATTGAATGCATTTTAAAATCAGACACACACATTATATTTTCAAATGACATGTAAACTGATAAATGATCTAATCTTTTTTGTCTTTCATTGTTGACATCGTCATTTTGTTTTTATCAATATACACAATATAAGTAAACTGATGTATCAATATAAGTAAACTGATGTTTTATTTGTAAGACTATGTGTGTGTGTGTGTGTGTGTGTGTGTGTGTGTGATTGCAATTTGAAGGAAACAAGTTTGTTGTAGCATTTAAGAAAATGTATTTTTGCTTTATATTTGTTTAAATGTTATAATATTATTTGTTTGTTTTTTCCAATTTAATCTGTTAGTTATGAAAGAAAATTGTGTCATTTGTAAACGTCATAAAGGGTGTGGTAATGAATTGGACGGCAATATGGGAGATATGGAGTGGGTCAGACACAATTTTTGACTCGTTTTTTCTGCCTTGAAAGTGTGAGCATCCTTAAAAATAACTTTTCTCAAGGCAGCGGAATCATGGCAGTGGATTTGCATTTCGTCACGCACTTCATAAGTTTTGTTTTGTGGAAAGTCTTCTTTAGAACGAATTTCATTTTGTATAATTTGTATCTTAATTTTAATCGATGTTTTGTTGATCAATTATTAAATCAAATAAATAAGAACAAGACAAGAATGCGTGACGAAATGCAAACCCACTGCCATGCTTCTGTGGCCTTGAGAAAAGTTAATTTTAAGGATGCTCACACTTGGGTTCACTCTTTATATGAACCAACTTACAATTTAAATATTTATCTCTTAAATTCTTCACTTTCAAATATTCAAACCCTCAAGCTTTTTAATTTTCGTGGAACACTGGTGAAATGCTGTAAACTTCTGTCCACAAAAATGTTGAAAATGAAGCTAATGTGAATGTAAAGAAAGTGATTTACAGCACAAAGGTATATGATCACAGAATTGTTTTGTGTGTGTGTGAACTAGCCTATTCCTTTAGAAATGTAGGGGGAAAAGCCCTCAACAGAAGACATCAAAATAGCTACAGCCTGCGGAAAAATAAAGGCGCATATAAATGCATATGAAGGTTTGGCGTTGACATTTTGTCGGCAGCTCAGAGCTGACAGCTGGGATTGTTGCTGATGATGCACTGGCCCAGATAGCTGGCAAACGCTGATGTGGACACGAAGCAGCTTTCCCAGAGTACGGATGGAGTGCTGCTGAACAACACGGCCATAACTCTTCATGCTAATTGCGACTAATGAGATCATTGTTCCTCTTATATATATTTATATGCTCTCAATTTATTGCAGAAAGAGAGAATTACCTTCATCGAGTGCTACCTTAGTTCCTGTGTCAATGCACTCACACACTTCGCCTATGATATTCCCCCGAGAACGCCGATGTCAGACAGACAGGGAACACTATGTGCTTTTCGTAACAATACCACTTTTAAACCTCTTCAAAAAATCCCTCTACCAACCTCTTACCTTGCAGTCAGTCTCTCTGCATCGGCTTAAAGACCAAAGGCCGCATGTAGATGCAGTGCTCACCCAAAAGGCACACACATCAGGATTTATAAGAAACAAATGTGAATTCAAAATGTTTGCACACTCTTTTGGTTTAGCAGTTTCAATATTGTAATGCATTACTTTTAAAAGTAACTTTCCCCAACACTGTAAGTGACAAACTAGTAAAATGAAGATAATCACTAGTCAAAAGAAATGCTAAATAATTCATATCGTACTGTACAAATTCAAAGATTCACATTTAATTCAGTGCTACTTGCCATTCCTTGTAATTGTTTGTTAAATTTACTAGAAATGTCGAAGTGAAAATTGTTTCAACACCTTTTTTTTTTTAAGTTGTAGATAAAACAGATTATTGGAGTATGTTTTACAAGAAAAATCGATTTCGGTTTTTATACTTCAAAATTTCACATTTAATTAAATGTGTCATTTGGTGTTTCTTGTAATTGTTAAATTTACAAGAAATTTCTGAGTAAAATTTTTTTTCAACACCAGCTTTTTTCAGTGTATGAATTTGATAAAATAAAAAATCATACTGCACTGCAAAAAATATCTTTTGAAGTTGTAAATAAAATTATTGTAGTATGTTTTAAAAGAAAATTCAATTTCAGTTTTTCTGCTTCAAAAGTTCATGTTAATTGTGTTACTTGCTATTTCTTTATAATTAATTGTAAACTTTACTAGCAATTTCTGAGTGAAAACTGTTTCTACCTTTTTTCAATTAAATTTTGAAAATATAATTTGAATATTTCACACGTCATTTTGTTTTGTATGATTGCAATATAACAAAACAAAAAGTAGATCTTTAAGAAATGTTTTAGTTGGATGTATGTCTGACTGTGAATTTTAAATGTTTTAGAGAACATTCAACAGTAACGTTCCCATAATGTTTGCAGAATGATAAAAAGGCATGTTCCCGTAGCGTTCGTACAAACCGTTTTAAAACATTTAAAAAATAGGATATTATGAATGTCCAGAAAACCTTAGAAATAACATTTTCATAACTTCATGGGTATGTTAGTAGAACATTCTTCCAGTAACATTAATAGAATGTGGTTAAGTTATCTGGTCTTTAATGATGTTCTCAAAATATTTATACATCATTCATGGAATGTTTTTTATTTTATTTTCAGAAATGTTTATTTGGATGTTCGTCTAACATTTTTTAAACGTATCTACTAATTTCAGAATGTTCAGAGAACATTCAACATGTTCCATCAATGTTTGCAAAATTATAAAATGGAATGTTTCCTTAATGTTTGCATAACTAAGAAAAAGAAAATAACTAAAATAAAAAACTGGACATTTTGAATGTTCAGAGAAAATCAGAAATATTATCATAACTTAATGGGTATGTTATCAAAACGTTTTTTTTTTTTTTTTCCCGGTAACATTAACAGAATGTTGTTCAAAGACTTATGGTCTTTAATAATGTTCTCAAAATATTTATACGTCTTTTCGTCTAAATTCCCCGGCACAGACATTACAAGTGCATTTAGTATTATGTCACAATCATGTCAGCCTGTCAAATGCAGACGTCATGTGTCAGAACTGACTTGTGTAGTACACATCAATGCGGTAAAAAAATCGCAAACGTCAGAAAGTAACCCAAAGCTAAATGAAAACCATGGAGACGCTCAGAATGGCATAGTTGCACACACTGTAAAAAGTGCAATTGTTACCTTAAAGAAGTATTTGTAGGTATTCTGTTGGTATAAATGAATGTATTTAAGATTCAGTGATGATACATAATATTTTGACTTGAATGAAAACAGTTAATTTAGATCCTTTTTTAAATGTAAACCTTCATTCAATAAGCAGCTTGCACACTGTGATTTTCTGTATGCATGGGATACACAAATGACCTACTAAATGTAAAGTACATTTTTAAAATTTAAAAACATTTCGAATTTTGATAGTCTTGTTTTTATTGTTGTTCATTTGCAGAAACAAAACAAAATAATAATAATAATATTATTAACAAAACAAAATATTATTAAATAAAATAAATGTACAAATAGTTAAATATTTTAAAATGTATTATTGTTATTATTATTATTCATAAAAACTAATAAATAAATTATAATATATATTTTTGTAAATTATATAAACAACAATTCATATTACATTTTTGAAATGATAAAATTGATTGCATTAAACATATTTCATTTGACAACAATGCAACAAAACTGTCTGAGATTTTATTGTATTGCATTTTTTTCACATACTGTTAGTAAATAGCAGGTAAAAAAACGTTAGAAGCCTGTAAAGTCATTAGCAGTCTTGAAGGGCGTTAAATAACTTCCCTGCATATTTATGAGCCGATGGTGTCGTACAGAGTGATTGACGTCTAAATTCCCCGGCACAGACATTACAAGTGCATTTAGTATTATGTCACAATCATGTCAGCCTGTCAAATGCAGACGTCATGTGTCAGAACTGACTTGTGTAGTACACATCAAAAAGTGCTATATAAATGTAATGAATTATTATTATTATTATTATAAATAAAAGGCAGTATACTACACAGGTATAGTTATAGTTAACTAAAATAAATAAATAAATAAGCATTTGCATTTCTTGAAATAAAATAAAGCTTAATGTGCTAATAATCTCTTTTTTTTCACAATTATTTAATTAAAAAAACTAAAACTAAAACCAATGAAAAAGACAAAAACACAAAACAAAATAACTAAAACTTTCAAATTCAAAGAAAATATAAAAATAAAAACTAATTCAAAATATAAATAAAAACTCTAATAGTATCTC